CCCCCCCCCCCCCCCCCCGGTTGCACATCACTTGTGTGGGTTTGGAATAGATGTTGCTTGTTTCGTATTTGGGTTTCACGTTTCTCGACATTGATCCTGGTGTGCCAGTGCCGTCATTGCAGAGTGTAGCTATCCTGAACAACTCACTCTCGTCCTGTGTTGTCTTATTAGTTTTCAAAAAGTATTTGGGCATAAGCATGTGGGAATCATTACACGTGTTTGCGTATTAGGTGGTCATGCATTGGTGCCGAACCCGATCGAGTACCGAAGACTCGGAACGATGTTCTTCATCCGCTTTTCGTATTAACTCACGATGCGATGGAATTGATGGCTTTGCTTGTACTGTCTTCCCGACGGTCTGGGTGAGCATAGCATGTACGCGACGAGGTACAGAAGTAATTGTTGACGAGACTGTCAGGCGCTCTTACGCCTCAGTGACTATAGGATCCAGCACGCCCGACCGGTGGAATGGGGACAGGTTAATTTACGCCGCAGCGAACCTACTGTAGGTTGCAGGCGCGAATTATGTGTGCCAGGAGGTTTACATGCGGTGCCCAGTGTGTCCCTCTACGCTGAGGCATGTATGCCTTGCAGTTCACGTCGTCCACACATTACGAGTCGTCGGACTGAAAAAACTGTTTTTCGTGATAGCTGCTGACTCGTAATGGCCTCGTACACTCCACCGGCACAGACGCAGATAACTCATGATGGTGACCTGTGTGTCCTTTGATTTTTTTTGCGACCCAGGTTTAAAAGGCAATGTCGCGGCACATTTTCAAGAGACCTGAAATCCTCAACTGGAAAGCTAATGTCGGGCCTGGCTGGGTACAGCATTTTGAAGTCAGGTGTGTTTGTTTGGAAATGGTGAACTAAGGGTTTTCCTGCATACTCGCAGGTATCCTAAGCCTCGATGCTTGTACCCGGCATCGATTCAAGTAGCTGTCGTTTGACGTGAGGTGTCTTAGGGCTTCAAGGTTGAAAATGCAGGTAGCCCTAGCAGCGTGTGGACCTTGCATCACCCCCGTCTCAATCCCTGTGCCTTTTGCACCCGGATTTGTTAGCGAACACTCGGTGACAAGGCAGTCGCTTAAGTCAAAGCTGTTGTGTGGTACCAGGTTGAGTCTGGGTTGGTGATCGAGGGTTCTGGCGTTTGAGTTTTTGGGCATCGGATATTGCGAGTTTGCGTACACAGCAACGACGGCCGCGAAGGCTGGCAGTCGAGTGCAAATCTCGCATCGGTGTCTCCATCTTGTGCTTTGCAAAGCAAGGGCAAGAACAGGTCAACACAATTTGTGCAAATCTCGCAGGTGGCTTTCTCAGCATTGCGCCTGGGCAGCTGGCTCCGGGATCCCAGGCTTTGAGATTTCTCCTTGTGTTTCCTACCAATATTACGACTTAGGCTCCTGAGTAACAACTCCCTCCCGGTTTGAGTCAGGCCAGGCCTGAACTAGCCTGAACTTGGAGTGTCGCGCTGGTCGCTCGGGTCGTGCCAAGAGTAGTCCGTGAATTGTAATGGCGGTTCGCCCTTGTCGGGGTTGTTGGATCCGCCTTGCGGGGGGTCCGTAGCTGAGTATGCACAACGGAGTTGTTCGATGGAGGTGGTTATACTTAAGAAGGTACAATAGCGATATCCTGCCCAATATGACTATCACACCAAAAGTCGTAAGAACAACACTCGTCATAATTGCCACTATATCGGTAATGATAGCAGTAGTCATCATCACCATCACCAGCACCATCAGCAGCACCGTCACCATCATCATCATCATCATCATTGTGACAATCATCATCATCATCATCGTCATCGTCATCGTCATCATCATCTTCATCATCATCATCACCATCATCACGTCACCCTCGCCCTCACCATCACTATCACCGTCGCCATCATCACCATCAGCGTCATCATCACCACCATTATCACCACCATCATCACCATCGTCATCACCATCATGATACTATCACCATCATCTTCATCATCATCACCACCATCACCACAATCATCACCGTCACAGTCACCGTCGTTGTCACCACCATCATCGTCGTCATCATCATGGCCGTCGTCAGTATCATCCTCTGACCTATCTGCCACCATTGTCACCTCCACTGCTCCTGCTCCTGCTTCCGCTGCTGGTGCTGCTGCTAGTTCTACTGTTGCCGGCACCTGCTACTGCTGCCGTTGCTACTGCTGCTAGCTAGCTGTTTGCTGCTGCTGCTGCTGGTGCTGCTGCTGCTGCTGCTGCTACTGCCGCTGCTTCTGCTACTGCTGCTGCTGCTGCTGTTGCTGCTGGAATACCACATCCACTGCCACCACGACTACCACTACTAGTGCTGCCGCTGCTACTACTACTACTACGACTGCTCTTACTACCACTACCACTACTACATTCAGGGCAGTCTATCATGAAGCTGGCTCTGCGTCCGGAATCAGGGCCTGAAAGCTGGGCCGACAACCTGAAGAAACGGATGCCTAATGATTAACATTGGTGGTGCNNCTATCATGAAGCTGGCTTTGTGTCCGGAATCAGGGTCTGCAAACTGGGCCGAAAATCTCAACAAAAAGGTGCTTAACAGTCGACGTTGGTTGTGCAGCTGGACGCTCACCTGGATTACAATGCTAAAGCGCAGTGACAATGGCAACCACGCTTCCCCTCACCCAAATTATTGCATTGTAAAACCCAAGCGGGGTGTAGGGTCCCACTTAGAGAAGGGCTGGGACCCACTGGGTCCCACCACGTCCCACCGAACCCATTTGGGTCCCGGGTAGAGAAGAGCCGGGACCCACCGGCGCCAAGCCCGATTTGGGTCCCACGCTGGGGCCACCGAGCCACACCCAACCGTCTGCAGGTCGCCATAGCACATCGCGACGCTCTTTCTGAGCATGTGTGTATGAGCTATCACGCGGTGTGAAAAACCGTCAATCTGCAACGGCAGTACCTTTCGTGACATGCGCAAGGCTGGTGGTTTTGAGGGCACGATGTTGGGTCCAGAAAATGCTCCGGCCACTATCAGGTTGTACTCTGTGTTCCTGACAGCATTGAGTCCTGCAAGTTTGTAGTTGCCAACGACAACAGAACTCCGAAGATGCTGCAACAAAGGGACCTCAGCATATTGGAGGAAAACTCCTACGTGATCGGCCTCATCCGTGACAATTAAGAGCTGTTGCCTTGCCAGGGTCCTAGTGGTTGTATAGGTTTTTCCTGCTTGACAACTTCTGCATGGACGTTGATAGTGCCCCGGCATTTTGCAACAATCCGCACAGTTGCATCCGACAGGATGCCCCAACAATCGTCACAGAGTGCTGCTGAAAACCCGTGTCCTTACCCTTTTGCAAGTTCATGATTGTGCCCAGAGTGCAAGCATCTGTTTTTGCCCATTTAACGACGTTCATCGCAGCTGCATCTCGCTCCTTTCAGTTGTCTCTCAAACCACGGCGGTCCCACGTGAGGGCCCGGCGGTGCACCTTCAGTGCCCTTCTGTTGTGTTCAATGCTCACCAAGTGAAGGACAGCTGATTGCTTGCTGATAGACTCAGCATGGCTCAAGCAGCCGAGGTCATCCAACTCCCCATAGATGTGTATAGTGTAGCGCTTGAAGAATATTTGTTGCATCAGGCGTTGCATGTGCTGGTGCAGCGACAACAACACGGCACGGTGCGTTTGACGGCCGGACTTGCGCTGCACAATGACCTGCTCCGGCTAGCCGCAGAGTTGCTGGATCCCGAAGAGAAATCGGAGTTTTTCCAGTATGCGGAAGCGCTTGCAAAACACCAGCGGCGCTGCCTAGACACTTACATGCTGTATCCTTTTGCAGAGCTTCAGCCTGGAGCACCGTTGGCTGAGCAGGTGGCCCATGCTCTGCTGGAGATTGCCACCCCATAAGGATGGTCACAGTGCGGCCACTGGCAGCCTCCTTCTAAGCCTTACACACCATGATGAGGGCTCTATGGCTGGAGGAATCGGATGGCTCGGCGAGCGTTGCCTCGGACAGACAGCAGAGCTGTGGACGCATGTACGAGCAAGAAAAGAAGCTGAAAG